TCAAACTCCGCACCTCTGCAGCCCAGTACCCAACTCATTGAGCCATCAAGCCATCCAGAGATAATAATATTACAAATATGTTTGCAGGATTACTATAATTGCCTGTGAAGCTCTTGGACAGCCTTAGTCTCTATTTCTGTCTCTTTCTCTCTTTCCAAGTTGGGTGATTCTTATCACGAATCAAGTCAGTTTGCATAAGTTATATCACAGGAAGGAAATGTGCAGGTCATCCATCCCAGTGGCTCTCCATGTTCCACTCCTGGAGTCCAAATAGGCACAAGGAAAAATCCCAAATCACACTGTGATACAAAAACCCATTTTTCTCAAAAAGATAGGCACAAGGAAAAATCCCAAATCACACCATGATACAAAAAACCATTTTTCTCAAAAAGGACATCTATTTTAGTTATTTATTTATTTATTTGATTTTTATCTTGCCCATCTAGACCAAGGGTCTACTCTGGGTGGTTATTTATATGTTTAAAGGCATTATGCATGTATATTGACCACCAATGCTAAGTTGATGGACTGGGAGAACAGGGGTGTAGTAGAAAAAATGAATCTTTCCGCAAAGTTTTTACATGTATCCTAAAGGTGGCTGATCCATGCAATGTAGGGTAAGCAACAGATGGCATGTCACAACTGCAGGAGAACGTGAGGCTTAGGGATGAGTGAATTGTTACAACTTTTTGGAAAAAGTCTAATCCTTTTACTCAGTGGGTCCCAACCTTGGGTCCCCAGATGTTCATGGACTAGAACTCCCAAAAGCTTTTGCCACTAGCTGTGCTAGTGCCAGGATTTCTGGACATTGTAGTCCAAGAACATCTGGGGACCCACGGTTGGGAGGCACTGCTCTAATTGAGACAAACAATTAAGACTGAGAGCATTCCCCATAGATGGCTCTCTACAGTGTGCCTGAAGACCTATAATGAAGGAGAACTTATCACACATACCCCTAGATAATTGGTTCTATTCTGAAACTGCTTTTGTTAAACACTTTCTCCCAATGTGCAGTGGAAATCTACATATCTATAACTAAAACAATTCAGATAATTAGCCCTGCTTTCTGATGCATCGGAGAACAAAGTGTTCCTCTATTCTATCAGAGACTAAGCTTCAGATATTTGAAGAGTGCTGATGTGATCCCATGTGGGTTTCCTATATCAAGGCTAAAACAGTTTATTCAGTCTTTTGTCATGGAATTTGTAGCCCATATTACCGACCTCCTGCATTGTCCTCCTTTGTACTCTCTGTCCAACATCCTTCTTAGTGCCCAAAATATTCCAGATGAGGCCTAAGGCAGAATAAAGTGGAGCTAGTCCCTTATCAGACTTGTCACTTCAGACAAGAGCATAGATTTCTACCTATTTATGGCTGAGTGTTCCTTTCATAAAATGAGAGATGATAATAATGCCTCATATGACAATGGGGAGGTTTTATTTATTAATGCCTGCAAATTGCTTTGAGACATTGTGATAGATTTGGCTGCAAAGCAAGTGCAGGCAACATTATAATTAACAGTCATAGCTGAGAAGCACACCATCAACCGAGCTGAGAATGGGAGTACCTTAAGCCTGCAGCTTGCCTGGTATGTCAGATTTTCCAGGTTGCTTCTGATTTAGCATGCAAAGTGGCACAATTCATTTGCTCAATTCTCCTGCCAAAATCACGTACAAGGAGCAAAAGAAAGGTCATAACATCTCTCAGGACCCTGGACAGCAGCTATACTCCAGGCTTATTGCTCCACATTAGAACCAATAAACAATCAAGTTGGTCAGGTGGGGTAAGCAGTCAGAGGACATCTTAGTGACAATATGTAGCTTATGAATAAGTGATTTATGCAGTTAGCTTTTCACAAAAACTGCAATCTGATTATGCTGGGCACTGGAAAATTACTTGCTAGTGGCCAGAATCCTATTGTGGATTTATGCCAGGGTATGAATAATGGCATAACCTATGGTGGTATTTTGTTACTAGTTAATAAGTCATTGCTCTCATTCCCAGTCTTGTGCATGTCTGCAAGTCGCAACTTGTTAATTAGTGACAATTCATTGGGTGAACTTTACACAATTACTTTGATACCAGGGTAAATCCACAATCGGATTCACAAGGAGCAACAGAATTGTTGGAACCTCAGCTTCTCTGAACTTTTTAAAAGTATCCTTGGGGTAAGGGAAGGTTAAGTAGAAGCAGCAGCAGCAATAGCAGTGGCAGCTTTTATTCTATCCAAGTCTTCCTAACTACACGGAGAGTCTCTATACAAGATAGAGGCTTTCCTCTTCAGATAACAGTAAGCTGTGGGATCAACATTGTCCCTCTGTTCAGGTCAACCCCCTTTCTGAACATCTGAATAGAGCTAAACCCCATGCAGGCATTTCCCTGCATTCAATGAGGGCTAAATAGATGGTCTTGATAGGAACATCCATGTAGACTCATTGTCCTCAATATATCTCCACACAACTGACAGTCACTGCAAAGGACTCTGAAGTATATTCATCTGAATGGGACTTCAGGCCTTCTATGTCTGGGAGTCCAACTTCATCAAAGATCATGAACTTGCTTAGACAATCCTCAATAGATATGGAGAGTGAAGTCTAAGTGACTTCCAAGCATGCGGGAAAAGTTGGGGAGTAGGACTTGCATGTGTGCCCACTTCCTTACCACCCATTTCATCCTCCACAAGTTCATAGAATCATGAAGTTGGAAGGGGTCTAGGCTCATAGAATCATGAAGTTGGGAGGGGCCTAGGAGGCCACAGAGTCCAACCCCCTGCTCAACGTGTAAATAAGGCTCTAAAGGCCACAGAGTCCAACCCCCTGCTCAATGTGTAAATAAGGCTCTATTGTTCCACCACTCCCATAAATTCATCTGTGAAGATTCTACTAACTCTTTCACTCCCTCTTGCCCATTGACTGACAACCCATTTTTGAAATCTGGGATTGCCATCTCCGATTCTAAGTGATGCTACCAGGAAGAAGAGAAGAGGGAGAGGAAGAGGAGGGACTAATGTTTATATGCACTTCTAAAGACCCTTCTGAGACCATCGTAAAAGCATATTTCCAACACTGATTGATTATTGTCAAGAGGACAACTTTAGATAAATTGGTTGGAGGATTAATGCTATCACTGCTTCCTGAAGAATCCTTTCTTCACATGTTAAAAACCTTATATCTTGCCCATATAAACATCACAGCAGTTTAGTTGAAAAGCAGGACATTCCAACATGATCCGGATCTATGTGAAAGTAATCCCATATCTTGTTCAACTCCCATTAAGAAGCCACAATTAAGCCACCTTTAACCCACTCAAGTGAAAATGAAAGGAACCCATAGAAGGACAATAAAATAATAAAGTGCTTAAAAGTAATTTCATTGATGAGCAGAGGCATCTTATAAAGTGTCAACATTCTTCTCCCTTCGTGGTACAATTAATGCAATCCAGTGCTCTGCTTTTTTAATGCACAGTTGTGGCTGGAGGGAAATTTGACAGCAAACAACTCACATTTTCTTCTTGTAATAAATTCTCATCATACAAAGAGTTCTTCACTGAGCAGATAACAAAGTCAAGTTCCACTTATTGCCCTTGCCACTCAACCCTTCCAGTTTGTTTGATTTCCCAATATTCTAGTTCTGCTTCTCTGGTATTTCAGGGGCTTCTTTCCGTCCAAACCAAGGACATGTTTGTGTCTGTCTCTCTTACAGCAGTAATATACTGCTTTCTTCTAGAAACTCACCAAAAGCCCAATTTTCTTACTGTCTTTTTGCTGCTACTGGTGCCCTCTTGTGGTTTGTTCCCATATTGTTTAGATTTTGTAACACAGCTCTCTTAGCATGCAAATCACACCAGACATTGCGTGTGCAAATATCTGCCTTTTTAGAGTGGAGGCTCCAGATTTTTCTAGTTTGCTTTTTCTCCTTCTTAATAAGTGACCCCAACTAATCAAGTATTACAACATAAACAGCTATAGCATCACAATTCGAGATGAAGACAAATAAAAAAAATGGTGATTTGTTTCGATCCATTATTCATCAAGGTTAACGAATCAACAAATATACGAATATTCTTCGATGAATCGACTCTCTGGATGATCACATCCAGCCCCTGTCAAGGAAGCACAGTGGGGAACTGAACTCCCAACCTCTGGCTCCGCCACTTAGCTATCCAGCAGTTCACAACTACACAAAGAAGTTGCATATGGTCCTGAGAAATCACAAAAAAAGGGAGCAAACTATCTGGCGTATTCATAAACATTTGTGAGAGGTTTTGCTTGGCTGCTATATTATCGGGAAAACACAAAGTTATCAAGTCAAATGCCTTTGCTATTTGCCTAAGAAATGTCTCACTATGGAAATGCACAGAAAACGTTGCTGAGTAAGTGCATTATGCCCTCAGGCCTGTAAATGGGGAAGAAGGCTGGACCTACAAAGGCCATTACAGCACACTACATCTATCCTGTGGGGTCTCATCTTGCTGAACTGCCTTCACTGCAAGGCAGGAAACGCAGCTGCTGAGGCCAGCAGAAAATAGGCCGCCAGAAGCTCAACAGTGGCAATTTCCCCACACCTCACAGGCTCCACTCAATAAATTGCAGTGGCTAAATGTGATTACAACACAAAAGCACTGCAGCAGAGGTGGGAGGGCAAGGCCATTTATTAAAGAAAATCTCTCTCTCTCTCTCTCTCTCTCACACACACACACACACACACACACACACACACCTTTTGTGTGTATATAATAAATGAAAACTCACAACAGTCCATGGAAGAGCAAGGGACTGGCATTATTTGTATGCCTCTCATATTTGACAGGAAAATAGTCACAGGTCACTTCAGCTGGTGGTCTATACTACCAATTATTGAACTGTGAACATACGTTACTACCAGCCTGCTCGACCAGACCACGGGACTGTTGAGTCCAGGGTCACCTTTTAGAAATCCCCATCCAAATGTTTCTGGGAAGCTCGACATCCCGCCACGAAGGAGAAATGTTTGCTACCTTACCTGTCGAACAATGGCTTCTCCCCACAATCGAAGGCATCCTGTAATTCTTTGACGAGGTTCGCCTGGCCGGGGAGTCGGAAAAGGCCTTCCTCCTTCAGTCCGCGCAGCCGAATAAAATCCACGCATTGTTCTACCAACATGGGCGCCAGATGGTTTCCATATCTTTTCTCGTAGCGGATGGTGTCTTCCAGCTTTTGCCCAAAAATCCCTGTTTGTAACAACAGAAGTGGCGGGTGAATTCAAGGGAAATGCTGTATCCCCAGCTAGAAACATTTGGACATTCCTGATAGTTCCTTTTAATATTGAAAACATACTTCCTCTCTTCATTCCCATGTTCCTTGGCCATGCAGCTGTTTTAAATAACAGATAAATTTATGCAGAGGGAGCGGATATATTTCCAGAAGTTTTCTGGATATTTAATAATTGGCACTGAGCAAAAAACCCATCACTTCTTCAAATCGCTCCATCTTTCACTGAAAATGTAGCTATCTTAGTTTATATGCAGCATTGTGTTCAAGGAACTTGGAGGTGTATATATGGGAGCATTTAGTTTTAAACTTCCAATAACCCTGTGAGATAAATCAGAGGGAGAAAGGATGGCTGACTGAAGAGCATCCAGTGACCTTTATAACTTCCTGGACTGAGATCACCACTCTTTGTACTACACCTGTGTTTCTAAACCTTTGCTTCTCCAGATATTATAGATTTCAACTCCCTGAATCCCTGACCACGAATGACACTGGCTGGGGCTTCTGGGAAGTGAATCTGGAGGACCAAGAGAATTAACTGCTGGATAGCTCTCGGGTTTAGGTATTTGGCTGCCCAGCCAGACATTGGAAGTTCCATTTCCCACTGTGTCTCATTGATGGGGGCTGGACTTGATGGTTCATATAGTCTCTTCCAGCTCTGCAGTTCTAAGATTATGATGATGATGATGACGATGACTGTAGTATATCAGTGCAATGTTATGGCAAAATTTTAAGTATCCTGCAGAAATCACAGAGCATAATAAATCTGCAATCATGTCAGTGCTGAGTACAATCCAGCCAGCTATCCAGCAATACTCTCAGAAGGCTTTTAATTGAAATAACATCAACTGTGGATCCTGAGCGCAATCTTAATTGTATTTTAATTATTTTATCTTTTATTGTATCTAATTGTTGTAAGCCGCTCAGAGACCTTTGGGTAAAGTGGGCGGCATATAAGTTAAATGAATGAATGAATGAATGAATGAATGAATGAATGAATGAATGAATGAATGAATATGCCTGGGTTGTGCACTTGGTTACTTGCCTGAAACAGGTGTCAACACATGGAACCCATGTGCACAACTGCACTTATGAAAACAGTATTTGCAAGAGAATTCTGGGCTCTGAAATTATGAAGGAAGCTTATTTAATCTGGTGGCTGGGATCCAGCCTACATTAATTGAACGTGTGGTTCAATTTACATTAATGGAGTGGGTTTAGTATGACCTATCTCTTAGATTTAAATAGGAACTTAGGCTACTAACAGTGTGTTTTGGTGGCTAGCGTGAAGGAGTATGACTCTGGAGAACAGGGTTCTCACTGGGGGAGTGGGACTAGTAAAACCACTCCTTGAAAGTCCTCCCAGACTCCCAGAAGCCTTCACCACCACCTCTGCTGGCCAGGATTTCTGGGAGTTGAAGTCCAAGAACATCTGGAGGCCCAAGGTTGGAGACCACTGCTGTAGGGGGTCCTAGAAGTTGGGTCCAACTTGATAGCATGTAACAACAAGTCTACTAAACTAAGACTGGGTTCTCATAGGTGCCAGGACACACAACCAGGCACCTCAAAAATATGTCAGCTCTCCTGTTCCAAGGATGATGGGAGAGACCTACTCTCAGAGGGGGAGACCTAACCTGATAATACACTTCAGGGCCATCACAGAAACCTCCATGGCCAATGCTCCTCTGGTGTAAGCAACTTCTCAGAGTGTTCCCAAACCGGCAATGTATAGACTCATAAAACTGAAAAGGTGGAAGGGACCACAGGGGTGAAGGAGTCCACCCTACCTGCTGAAGCAGGAAATTTACAGCTAAGCATCCCTGACAGGTGGCCATCTAACCTTTTGAGGCAGTTTGTGTGATAGAACAATGGTAATTGTGTGCTGTCAATTCTGATTCATGGCAGCTTTTTCCACAGTTGCAGAATGCTCAGAAGAGGTTAGCATTCCCTTCTTCTGGATGCACTCTGAGACTATGTAGCTTGTTCATGGCATAAAAAAGTTCTTCCTAATGTTTAGGCAGTATCAGTTTTCTTGCCTAAAGTTTGTAGATTAATTTCTTCCTTTGAAGCTAATGGGCAGCAATTAATTTTTTAAAAAACCAGAAAAGGCAAATAGAGAGTGAAGATTTAATTCATCCCCATCCCTCCCCTTCCACCTAGATAAGTCCATTCCTCTGTCCTTCAGTCTCCCGCCTGCAGCTGGTAGGTTTGTCCCAGCTGGGTGTGAAATTTTGTACATATTTATCAGACTCAAAATCCTTTGAAACAAAAAGGGCACATTCCCAGGCAAGGATATTAAAGGTTGCAGCTAAATATAGATCCAATAGTTTAAGGAAAATTAAGGTTGATCAGTCTACATCCCAATCCCAAAGAAGGGCAGTGCCAAAGAATGCTCCAACTACTGTACAATTTCACTCATTTCACATGCTAGCAAGGTTATGCTCATCCTACAAGATAGGTTTCAGCACTTTGTGGACCGAGAACTCCCAGAAGTACAAGCTGGATTTCGAAGGGGCAGAGGAAGTAGAGGCCAAATTGCTAACATGCGCTGGATTATGGAGAAATCCAGAGAGTTCCAGGTAAACATCTACTTCTGCTTCATTGACTATGCAAAAGCCTTTCACTGTGTGGACCACAGCAAATTATGGAAAGTTCTTAAAGAAATGGGAGTGCCTGACCACCTTATCTATCTCCTGAGAAATCTATATGTGGGACAGGAAGCAACAGTTAGAACTGGATATGGAACAACTGATTGGTTCAAAATTGGGAAAGGAGTACGACAAGGCTGTATATTGTCCCCCTGCTTATTTAACTTATATGAAGAATACATCATGCAAATAGGCTGGACTGGAGGAATCCCAAACCGGAATTAAGATTGCCAGAAGAAATATCAACAACCTCAGATATGCAAATGATACCACTTTGATGGCAGAAAGTGAGGAGGAATTAAAGAACCTCTTAATGAG